CAATGAATGAGAATTAATGAAATGACATTAACATCCATAAAATACTTATTTCACTTAATTTCTTAATTATTTCATTCAAATCCATACTGACTTTTTGATAACTTTGTTTTTCGTTTACTTAGATATGATATTATGATGACCTGTTGGGAATTTGACCCTAACAACAGACCAACTTTTCAGGAGATAAACCAGATCATTACAGGATTAGTCGAACAATGAATGTAATGGCAGGAACATTGTTTGATTTTCATTTTAAGATGTCATTGAATACTGTTTAATGTAAATATCTTGTTTACGTTTTTACAAGATTACTACTTTGTTATTTAAATATAAATCGATTTTGAACAAGATAGCAACCAGTATGATGCACACATGCAGAATGGTTTTAAGTTTAGAATCATTTAAAGACATACATTCATATTTTGAATGCAAAAATTGCAGTTCATAAATCAACATTCATTACAATTTTTTTTTAAATTTTTCACTAAACTCACTTTAATTTTTTTGATCATTTTGATATCTTAATTAAAATTACAGCTGACAGCATATCTTAAAATATAAAACATATACATATTTTAGTAGATCTATATATAACTAGTAAACAAATTTTGATCTGAAACGGTATTTTGATCTAACCAGCTCTTAAAAGACTGAATAATATATCATCAAGTCATTTTCAGTCTTTCAGTCAATTTTCATATCTATCCTCTGCAGTAAATTAAATACTGTTCAGACAATTCGCTTGCAGTCAATTAAGATCGGTTCAGGGTTTGTTCAGACTCTTTAGCAGTTATTATTTACATGCACACATCACCATCATATCGAATTGCCTGAAAAGAAAATAAGCCATACTAAAATGTTACAGAAATTTTACACAATTGTTTTTGCCAGTCAGTTTTAGCATCATTACATTCTATTTAAGTTTTAGTGAGTTGATATTTTCTTTTTTTTTCCATTGAATGTTATTGTATCTTGTTGTTTACATATATGTGTTTATATATTCAACTGATGTTATTTTATTTATTGAAAAAGTTGTTAATACACTATAAATACAACATACTGCCAAATATGTATCTTGTTAATGTCTGCCCTCATGTTTTCGGATATTTTTCAATTTTCATTGTGCAACTTATATGTTACTTTATTGAATATAATAAACTGAAGAAAATTGTATAGATATATGAGAGAACGGTGAATTTTTATGATGGCTATTAGATACAAATCGCTTAAGTGTTTGTACATTTAAATGGAAATACGAAATTGTTTTTTTTTATCTAATGTGCTCTTTCTAAAAGTTTATTTGCATGTTTGTATTTTGATTATTAATGTTTTGGATTTTTACCTTCTAACATGAATATAAAAATGTACGTAATCATAATATATATGAAAGAATAAATAACCATAGAAGTCCAAAGGACAATGGTTAAATTTTCTGAATGTTCTCAAAGCTAGAGTAAAACAAATACACATATAAACATTAAATTCCTAAATATTACTTGTATACACTTACCCTTATCGTCCAGGTTACAGACTAAGGGTCCCCCTGTTTACAATCTGTGAGCAATCTGTCCATGGACAATAAAAGGCTACCTTGGATTTACAAGTAGATTAAGAAATATCCACATAATGTTAGAAGCATTTTATTTTATACCTGAACTTCATTCAACAATGTAAGTAAATAACACGCATAATAGACTTACACTTTTATATCATATATATATATATACTAAAAGAAAAATATAACTTTGTTTAAAGTTAAAGTTATATTTTTTGTCTAAATTTTCATTATTACTAATTTTAATTGTGTCAATTGATGATGTCAATTAAATTAAATTTTAATTAAAACACAAACTTTATATTAATTTTTAGGTTATATTTCCAGATTCTAGGTTATAAATGGCTTCTGGTAATAAAGGTGTTGTGTTGTATTTTATTGAATTCCTAATTTTCCATAGAGTCTATTTAGAATATTTAATAAGTGTGTTTAGAAAATTATCATATTTGAATATTCCTGTTTTGAATCCTAGCAGCGTGTCATTTTCAACAATAGGATTATTTAATCCTATGCTTAATGGGATAAGTATTTCTTTGAAGCTTGTTTAAAAATTTAAGTTCAATGTACTACAACTGATAAATAAGTGTTGTAGAGTTTCTATGTTGTTGTCATTTTGACAAATGTTCCATTTGATAGTTTCGTTTTTTGAAATTTAACTTCAGTACATGTATATAACTGTATGGACCTCTATTGAAATATTTTCAATGCTCATTTGATTGAATCCCGACCACAAATTTCACCAATGTGATCTTTTTCCAGAAATTTCCTCCAATTTAATTTAACATATTGGAGATAAAAAGTAAAATAACACAAAGACCGAATTTCATTGAAAAATTCTATTATTGTTATATACACGATTAATTTTTATCTATTTTAATTACATAGCACAGCTGACCCGGAAAGCACTTACGCCATATATTGAGGAAAAGGTCAATCGGAACAACACTTGAAATATATTGTTGTTGTTTCAAAACCCATAAGTCTCTCAAAGATTACAAATGTTTTTATTATTATTTTTTATCAATTGATAATTTTCGCATGATTTATTAGTTCGTAGCATTTCAAACTAAACGATTTATACATACTAATAATTATAATATTACTTGTATATATATTCCTGCATGATCATAGATGTCTTACCAGAATAAAAAAAAGGGGGATGTCAACGACTAAGTATAACAGGACAGAATGGTATGGAAAAAAGTCTAGAAACCTTCCAAGAACTTGAAATACGGAGCAATCTGCTTTATATGATGTCTTGTCATTATTATACTATGTTCTTGTACCATAATCCTATATCGTATATCGTGTGTGTTTTACATGTATTCATATGTTTTTTTTTCAGTAAATGATGCACTTTAACCTTTAAACGACGTGACATATAAGTTGTAAAGTATCATTTTGCCTTTATATTATTTGGAAACATCATATAAGATATGCACCTATCTTTATATGATCATCATTGATTTATGTCCCTTTGTCTGGCACATTCATTTATATTATGTCCTATTTCATTATAACATGTGTCTTTTTCATTAAATAGAAATAAAATGTTTCTCGTCTTTAATTTTTGTCTTCACTTGGCTTGAACTAAACAATTCGATTCACATTTGTTTTATATGATGTGCTATGACTTTTATAGAATTTCATTTTGAAATTATTTAATATGCATATATCGTTATGATATATATATATATTGTTTTATTAAAGTGCAACCTGATATAACATATTAATACAAATGAAAAACATATTTTATAATGTCAGCCAGCCTTCAAAGCTTATGATGAATTATACTTCTAAAGTTCTCATAAGCAACCCTGCTATATGCGCAATATGTCTTATATATGATGTGCGCTATTCCTTATTTCATAGGGGAACATCTTTATAAAATATGCTCGTATTCTATTTCATAAACCTGTACCATTATATGATGTGGATAATTTTTCTTCATTGTTTGCGGTCAAAACGGTTTGATATAATGTACTTTCGTCGTTATTATGATTACGTGTTGAACGAAAAAGAGAGCTCGAGGCGAAAGATACCAAAGGGACATTCAAACTCATAAGCTGAAAATAAACTGACAACGCCATGGGGAAAAAAAAGAAATAGACCAAAAGACAAACAACAGTAAACAAAACACTACATAGAAAACTAAAGACTGAGCAACGCGAGCCCCACCAAAAACCAGAATACTGTTACGTCATATCTGATTCCGATCAGCTTCTCCGCAATTATTTCAGAAGTTTACGGTCACTATCACAACTAAATTCAACAATAAGATGCGGTTGTGTCCTTAACTCACGAGAGACAACTTTTCAAGGTCTAAGATCTAAAGTTTCCAAAATAGTCACCTAATCTGAAATTAACTGATAATGACCAGTTTTTTTATCATGCCTATTATGAAAATTTTACGGAATAAAACAAGAGGAGTAAGGATTCAACTGTCGAATGACGCATTGTCCTTCTAAAAACAGGTGCGTGAGAAGGAGAGAAAAAGGAACACACGGTAGAAGGAGATGAGAGTAAGAAAGGATGTATGAGAGAAGTGATGAACAACTCTTTTGTGTGCCCTTACCTGAATTTAGTTTTCAAAACATGTCAAATAAAGTTTACGATTGCCAAGATCTTTAATCTTTGATTAAAGGGAAAATAATCTTCTGCTGTACATTATAAACCAAATTCAATCGTGTATTTGATAGTACATGTAATTTAAGAAGCGGCAGTTTTACAGATTATTGGTGTTTAACATCATTATCAGCACTATTGTTTATTTCACAGCGGCCAGTTTTAATGGTTGGAGGAAGCCGGAGTGTCCGGAGCGAACCACCTTTGGCAGGAAAACTGGCAATACTAGTCAAATAGGATTCGAGTCGTACACATCTGCCACGTATGGGTTCGGACTCACAATCTCAGTGTTGACAGGCCAGTGATACATTAGTTGAACTACTTAGACCACTCGGTCATCCAGGGTCCCTCGAGGAAAAACAAGGGGACATTCATATATCGAGGAGAAACTTACATTGCACTGGGAAAAACGAAAAACTATGAAAACACGACCAAGTCTATGATACTGTGAATTCAAAATTATTGTTAGATTTTTATTAATGCGAAAAATGAGACTAGGTGAGTATCGCAATAATAAGAACTCGCATTTTGATAACTAAATCATAGATTTGTATGTAGATTTTTTTTTAATTCGCAAAAATTAGAATCGCATTCTTGTCCATTTTGAAAAAACGCAAAAATAAATGCACGCAATAATTTCTGAATTTACAGTACACTACGTATGTTGGATAAGGGTAGGAAGTTTTATCATTCTTTGAGACAAGAGTTATTACAGGGGTTCATTTGCGTGAAGAAAGCTTATCCCTCTACGTACACGTGTAATCTAAGTGAAAACGGAGATTGAAAGTTTTAACCTTAGTCAAAGGAGAACAACGGATCATCAGGGTCGCAAAGGCTCTTTTGGACTGAAGGAAGTAACATTAGGGGACAGACCTAACGTTTGCTCAAGTCTGCGAAGGCATACAAATCAGATCTATATAAGTACAAACAATTTATTTCCTATATTCTAAAATTTAACAACGATCGGTGAGATGATGATTGACTTCCTGTAGCTGAAGTACTACGAGTGGTTTAATATACCAGGAACTATTTCGTGTTCAATATATGTATAGATGACATCCAAATTGCCAGAAAGTAAGTTTTCTATAAGCTTTTCGAATTTACTCCAATAATCCTGTATTTCAATTTTTGCATTACATTTCTATTTAGATGATCTTTTGCATGGTTGCATTTTTTTAAGTTTTCCATCGGTTGTTACCATAGTGATACGTAATTATCAAGATACTGTGAACAAGAAACTGGTTCAGCAGTACTAAAATAACATTTAATAGTGTATGGTAAAGTATCGAAAATAACGAAATCTGCAATATTTTAAGATAACAAAACAACAAATTGAAATACATGTAGAACATTTAAGAAAAATTGTCTTTTTCTGTAGCTCTTTCTAGAAAGTCATTATCGAGATCATAAACTTGAAATGTATGATAAAAGTATATTTTGATACTGTTTCATGTGAATCGCACTGGTTTACTGCAGAGGGACAGCAACCGTGAAAAGTAAATAGTAACGTTTTTATTCATTACCCTACATGCAATACATAGAATACACCTTTCAATATTCACTTTTATAACTCAGTTTAGTTAAAAACATTTCTGCTATCAGTTTTACACGAAATTTAACCTGGAACTCATGCAGGTCACCCTTAATAACCCGTTCACAACATATTACCTTTTTTTTAACTCCTTGATCACTTGCCAAAATGGTACAAATTGTGGCCCATGGCTGATATTTTATGATATCTATAAGTAAACAAATTAGATCTTATTTTAGAACTTTTTAAATTATAAGTTTCAAATGTTAATTTAAGTTAGTTTCATGTTATTGCATGCATTCTATTGGAAACAATTTTCATGAATACTTTTATTGCGATCAAATAACTACAAGAAGGGAACTCGAAGAATTTTGTAACGTGAAATGGAGAGAAATTAATTTACATGCCTCCCCCTTTTTATGCAATAAATGATAATAACTACGAAACGTTTTAAAAACTAAAAAAAAACCGGACATCCACCCTTGACAAAATACAATACCATGTCATGTAGAAACTGACAAAATTATAATGTATTGTTCAATTATAAATTCATGCCGACATCCGTTACATTTTCCCCTTCTTCCTGTATGTTCTGTTTACAATATAATAATATTCATTCATTCATTCAATAACAATCCTTTAAAAGTTATGACCATATTTATCCAACTCAATTCCGGTAAATTTTATAGTTCAACACATATTTTCATTTTCATGTGAAAAAGGTAAACATTATGTACTGCTTGGTTGCGGGTGAAAATAAGTTAGCAACAACACTTTGGAAATCTGTGGCCTTCATCAGAGAGATAAAAAAAAACACGCAAAACAAGTTATCATGTGGTACATGATTAACTGATCCTGATAAAATAAATGACTCAAAATTGTCATAGAAATAAAATTCTTTTCAAAAAAATCATTCAGCTATGTAGTCTTTATATTAATGATGTTTACAAAAAAAAAAATGTTTGCATAAGAAAGCTGTTGACAAATAGCGGAAAATCCTATATTTTTTATACGCCCGTAGAAGACAGACCGTTTTATAGTAAATCATTGTCGTCCGTTTGTCTACATTTCGTATGATAACTCAAATTTACTTTATCCAATTATCATGCAATACACCATTTGGAGTGACGAAAGCTCCCTTTCGAATCAAAATTTTGTTGGCTTTTTCGTTTCAGAGTTCCTGGACTTTTTACCGTTTGAATTAATGCAAGTTTTCACATATTGTGCTCTCACTCTTGTATGTCTAGATTGATTCCCTTTAAACTTTACATAATTGTTGTGATTGATGAAAGGAAGATCCATTTTGCATTCTATTTTCTGGTTGGTCCTTCCAGTGTTATGGGACTTTTACCGTTTGAATTAAAACAGTGTTTCCAATATCGTGCATTTACTGGATTAATTTCCTTTAGATTTTACATTGTTTTTGGAAAGTTAAAAGGAAGCCCCATTTCAATTTTTTAATTTTCTGGTTTGTCCTTCCTGAGTTACAACACTTTAATTGTCAAATTGAAGAGAATTTGTAACATGCTGTACCATGACTTGAGTTTGCTTGGGATTGACTTACTGGAAACTTTATTAAATTGTAGGAATTGGTCAACCTAACACTTCTTTCGATTTCGATATGTCATTTATTGTATTCAAAACGATTTTAAATAATGTGCTTTTTTGTCGTTATCATGGTCCTAATATAAGATTATTGCATGACAGTTTTGATATCAGATGTATTTCCAGCGCTAGGTGGTTGTTTAACTCCAAGGACCGAAGGTAAATATAAAACTTACATAAAAAATGTAATGTTTGCATATAATCTGAAAAATTTTAATGGATAGACAGACACTCAGTCCAGGAAAAAAGATCATCAAGTACATATTTTGGCATACAAATTTTTCTTCAACACTCTTTTTGCATAGTATCTATTGAGTGTATAAATACAAAGGGATCGTTCCAGGTGTAATACCACCAAATCATGGTACGTCACATCCGGTTTCATACGAAAACGGGTCGAAAAAATATTCCCTTGAATTTGACAGTTTTAGAAAATTAACTCTGCATTTCATTGCAGAAAAAAATTTCTGAGTCATCATCATATATCTTGCGTGTTTCAAAGCACCATTTTTTCTATTTGCTGTTCCTTTAAAAAAAAATTTGAAAACTTCAAGTGAAATGGTTACTAAAGGTGAAAATTTGATTGGTTTACTTCCAGTGATGGTTTATATCTTATCTGCAATGAATAGTTAGGTGAAATGTTGACTGTAGTACTGGACAGGATAAAACTTTACTCATGCCAAGTATTTCTTTATTTGAAACAAAGATAAATTCTGCACAATTTTTTGAAAAATGTCACTTTAACAAAGACTAATAGGAGAAAATCAACGGTGGTATTACTCCTAAAGGAAGATTCTTCCGCTTCAGATTCTTTCCCGTTGCTTGAGCCACTTTTTATTATGACCCTTTTTGATTAGGCTTTACGGAGTTGGGCAAATGGGTAAACAGTAATGTGCTGGACCTATGTTTGTGTTGAACATACCTATATTCTTTCATTTGATAAACTAACTAGCTCCGTGTTGATTTTAAACTGAAGAGGCATCATGGATGCATGTAAAAAAATGTTGATCACGGTAGTACATATAGGGAAGTGACCGGTTCGGACAGTTTTTTTTTTCTCGAGTGGATTAATTGTTTCTTTAAGTCTGACAACGTTAATTTACGTAAATATGAGGTAACATGTAAGATACAGAATTTTGTTCTAGTAAGATTTGAAACCAAAGCTAAAAATAGAAAAGAGTAAAGAAGGACAATGTTCAAGTGTTACTTCTATGAATAGGAATCTGTTCTAGCATAACAATACAACAACACGCCAGCTATAAGTATATGTCAATAGACATCATAGGATCCTAATCAGTGGGAAAATCTAGTGAACGAGAACAAACGGAAATTGACTCTTCTTATGATAGAGTCGAGAAAATCAATAATAAAACAATGCCGGTGACGATACTGATCAAAAGTTATTTCTATTTAGGAATTGTTCATTTTAAAAAACATATTTGTAAACTGTGTTATTAGAAACATACATACAAGGCCGTACCTTGACCTATAATGGTTTACTTTTATAAATTGTTACTTGGATGGAGAGTTGTCTCATTGGCACTCATACCACATCTTCCTATATCTAAATACACGATGTTTTATGTTCAGTATTTATCGAGATGATTGCATTAAAAACTTGTGAAACTGAATCTAAAAAATGTTAATCTTTGCTGCATATTGAAAACAATTAGAAAAAAAATCACGTACATACAAAATCTAAAGATCTTTCGAGTCACCAATTTTTGGAGTGTTCCACAAAATCCTTCGCATGTTAAAATTCCCCAAAATATACTTATATTCCACATCGAAGTTTTTGAGTACACTGGTATAATCATGTCAAATGAACATTCAATATAGAAATAATGTCTTTTCGTGCTTATAACAATTTAAAAGTCTGTCTGTGCAGGTTAGAAAATTACAGATAGATATTTTTATAAAGTAGGTATCTTTTTTTCTGTTTTTTATACAATTTTAAGAAAAGGCCCTCTCGGCTTTTTTTACATGTATTTGCGGTCTTTTCGATCTGTTCACATTCAATGTTTACATCTGGATAACTTAACGGTAACTTAATTTCAAAAGTGTTAATCTTTGCTGCATATTAATCGATTCCTTTTGAATTTTTTCCCTGACTTTCTCTGATCTAGCTGCATATATATCCGGATAATTAGCATATTCGAGAGGGGAATACAGCCAGAAGAATAAAAGAACAGAGTTCCAATGTCCACCGCGTTGCAAATATTTTATATTTCCAAGGGGCATAACTCTTTTAAAAAACAGTTGATCGTCCGCCATTATAGAACTGTCCGAGATATTGCTGATATTAACCTATAGTATAATTTTTATAAAAATCTGGCAAGAATTGTACCAGTGAGAGCGCTAACGAGGCCATTTTCTATAAATCTAATATTTCCAAGGGATATAACTCTTTTAAAAAAAGTCGATCGTCTACCATTATAAAACTTGTCCGATGTATTGCTGATATTAATCTATAGTATAAGGTATATAAAAATCTGGCAAGAATTGTACCCGTGAAAGCGCTAACGAGGACATTTTCCATAAATTAAATATTTCCAAGGAGCATAACTCTTTAAAAAAAAAGTCGATCGTCCACCATTATAAAACTTGTCCGAGATATTGCTGATATTAACCTATAGTATAAGTTTTTATAAAAATCTGGCAAGAATTATACCCGTGAGAGCGCTAACGAGGCCATTTTTCATAGATTTAATATTTCCAAAGGACATAACTCTTTTAAAAACAGTCGATTGTCCACCATTACAGAACTTGTCCGATGTATTGCTGATATTAATCTATAGTATAAGGTATATAAAAATCTGGCAAGAATTGTACCCGTGAGAGCGCTAACGAGGACATTTTCCATAAATTAAATATTTCCAAGGAGCATAACTCTTTTAAAAAAAAGTCGATCGTCTACTATTAAAAAATTTGTCCGAGATATTGCTGATATTTACCTGTAGTATAAGTTTTATTAAAATCTGACAAGAATTGTACCTGTGAGAGCGCTTACAAGACCAGATGGATGGACACACACGGACGGACGGACGGACACACGGACGGACGCCCGGTATTTCTATATCCCCCGCAACGCGTTACGCGGGGGGCAAAAAAAAAATTGAAGTTGATACTCTAGAAATTTATTCGCATAGCAACATTTTAAACCAATTTTACATCAAGCTCATATAGCCTGCTGTACTCGTCGTTTGCTGCTTAAAGAGGGAAATGATAAAATTAAATGGAAGTGTTGGTTTTTATTTCAACTTATTTCTATTTTCACTCTTTATCAGAACGTTTTCCCGTGAATTCATCATTGATAGCGTCCTTGCTAAACGGGACAAACATTAAAAAGTTTTCAGTTTACAGGGAAGGTAACATTTTGTCACTAGACATCCCACTGTAATATAACAATATGATTCCAATTCCAGCTTAATAATAGAACCACCAAATTGGCGACGCAGCATATTCACATTTGAAATCCCTGATGTTCTCAATAAGGGTATATGTCAATGATTCAGCAACCCATCAATACAAATAACCACAAGAAATATACAGTCTTAATTCAACAATATATAGGTGTCTACACAATATGTCAAACTTTAATTCCCTACAGTCAATAGGCCAATAGTTACGAAAAGCAACAGAAGCAATCAAAGATATGGAATTCACACATCTTTTTTTTTTATATTCAATCACTCCTCATTCGATTTAACAAGTGTAACACTACGAAAGTCACTAGTAATCCTTCTGAAGCAAATGAGGGGAATTCGTGTTGATTTTCCTTACTTTTACTTTTTGCTGATCGATGACAGATATATTGTATTCGTCCAATATGTTTTCATTATTTTTTTAATCTACAGAACTCTGCGAAGGATATTAACATATCGAAGCAAACCTTGTGTACGCATATTTTATATTCATTACATTAATGCGTATGTGCTATTTATTTAATTACAGTTTTGTTGTCATGGCATTTTGAGTGTACGGCAAATTATATATAAGACACAAAACATTTAAGGCTAAAAACGTATCAAGTATGATGACACAGTATGGAAAAACATATAGAACCATGTCGTAATTTTATCATAAAACTGCGAGATTATGGTAAAATGTAATCAGATCAGAAATAAACATATGGAACAAGAAATAAACTCTACAAAAAAAAAATTACGACAGAAGGGATAGTTTTTCTTTCCCTATTGTTAATTTTCCTTTTTTTGGACGGTGGTGTTCCTTTGTCAACGTCTTACGGTGTTTATATGTCCCAACTCGTTCGCTATGCCCGTGTCTTTAGTGACGTTTTATTTTTCAATGAGCGTAATCTATGTATTACTGGTAAATTATTAGGTCAGGGATTTTGTTACACAAGTTACTTAAAACCTTTCCTAAATTCCTCAATAGATACAAAGATTTGGTTTGCAAGTTTGGCTGTACACGTAGAAAACTTATTTCAAACGGATAAGAACATCATAATTTTACGATGATGTTGTTTACCAAGCCCGGAAGTCCAGATACGATCCGGGTAGATTTGGCAACCATTTAGACTTATTCTAAAAAGTTACCAATTCAACACTGTAATAAGATCTTTTTAAAATTGTTTTATTGGTATAAATATTGATAATGTTATCAGTAAATAAAAACCAAACTAAATCTTATTGTAAATATACATGTATGCACTTTCCCGGTACTACAATCTGTTAATATTTTGGCATTGCACAAGGTCATGTTTTTCTCTGACTGTTAATGGCGTCTTAACACTAAATATATTGGATGTTGGAAGTGTACTGATTGATGTTTAAGTCTTAGATACATGATTTTTTTTTATTAGTTGTTATTGGCTTTGAACTAGCTGTAAGTAACTGCGAGTACTCTCAGATCTGTACTTTGTCTTTTTTTATGTTAGGGATGTATAAATACCCTGCCACGTCCGATCTGTGTTTTTGTTAGATATCTTCCTCCTCTATATCGATCTGATGAGTTAAGCCCTTTTCAACTGTTTTTTATAGTTTGTTCTTATGTTATGCTGTCCCAGGTTAGAGGGAGGGTTGAGCGCTCACAAACATGTTTAACCCCGCTATATTATGTATGAGCATATCCTAAGTCAGAACCCTGTAGTACAGTGGTAGTTGTTGTTTCATGTCTGTCCTATTTGTTTTTTCGTAAATTGTTTTGTTTTAAATTAGGCCGTTAGTTTTCTTAATTGAATTGTTTCATATTTTTCATGTCGGGGCTTTTTATAGCTGACTATACGGTATGGGTTTTTCTCATTGATGAAGGCCATAGAGTTGCCTATAATTGCTTACATCTACTTCATTTGAACTTTGGTGGATAGTTGTCTCACTGGCAATCATACCACATCTCCTTATCTTTATGTCAAATGTAACAGGGGTAAAATTAATCAACATAGTTTTATGTTTTAATCCATTCATGACTCTGTATTATTGACATTCTCTAATTTGCAGTAATAAAATAGAAAAAGGTCAAGTCAGTATAACAGGCCCGAATGCATTCTTTTTTGGTAATATTTGAAAACCGGGGTTTTACTGCAGTGCACGAAAAAACCTGGACAATGTGAAAAGCTGTATTCTATGAGAACTATTTCAAATATGTGCTTTATTTGTGATAAAAACGTTTATGTCAATAAAAATAAGATGGGCAATTGAAAAAATATATGCTTGCTAAATGAGAGAAGTATACTGGCTTATAATTTCACAAAAAAGGAGCCGATTCACACAACAAAGTAAAATGCCAACTGGACCCTATACATAACGCATTTATACCGAGCGTTGGAACTCATGTTGATACATGTATTACCATTTTCAAGCTTCGTTCTAAATACAACTGACGTTGCATATTTCATAGGAACTTCTTAACACTTGTAACTAGTGGCTGTGATATTTTTTTTAGATATGAATACAAAAAATTGAAAGTGCAAAGGAACATAAAAATGTAACAGTATACATGTATCTGTTTTCAACAGGTACAGTTGCTGGATCACATCACAGAAATTTGTCCACTATTTCCTGTACTTAAGGAACTAAATCCTCGTTCAAAATGTGTTATTTTCCCCATCATTTATGTTGTTTTTTGGGGGTTTTCCATACTTAACATGGACTAGGATATTTCTGGCTATATCATTATAAAAATAAGGAAATGTGGTATGACTGTCCATGAGAAATGTGAACAATTACTGGTCACAATGAAGAATAAGTAAAATTCATCCCTGACAATAAGCTACAAAAGGTCCCCGTATAACACAAGAGAGGTGAAAGATAACAAAGGGACATTCGAACTCATTTGTCAAATAAAAACAAACTGACAATGTTATGGCTTAAACCCCCCCCCCCCCCAAAAAAAACGATTAAATTTTATAAGAGCTGAAAAACGGCATGATTGATAAAACTAAAATGACAGAAAAACAAATAGAACAAACAGCAAACCAACCACAACTAATGGTCTAGCTACAGGTTATTGCTTGATACAGTCACATTACAGAAAGTATCGGATTTGTATATGAAAAGGACAAAAGACTCAAAGTATAACATGAAGAGTAGACGCAGTTAATGTGAACCTGTTGAGTTAATCTTTATCTGTGTGTATTTTGTTAGGAAGCTTTCCTTGCCAAAACATTGACTATGCCATATATACTTACGCCAGCTTTTTAATCAGCAACTCCTTCTAAACGGCTTGACTGAATTAACCTATAAGTGCACAGGTTTTTTATAAGAAATGTTTTGACCCGCCCCGTTTGTATGTACATGTCTAAAGTCCTTAGCCTGTAATCTAATGGTTGCCGATGGTTTCTGTAAATCATATTTATTTTTCATTCATTGTTTTCTACATTAATTTGGCGGGTAGCTTTCTCGTTTGAATTGTTTTACATTTTTTCATTTCGGGGCCTCCTATAGCTTATTAGTTTATACGGTATGTGTTTTTCTCATTATTGAAGAACGTATAGTGACCTATAGTTGCTTAAAGTAACGTCATTTGGTCTTTTGTTGATGGTTGTATCATTGGCAATCATACGAGATCTTCTTGTCTTAACATGAAATTGTTCACCTGCTTTTAAATATTTTTTTTTATCTTTGTGGTTTATGGAGATTCCCGTACCACAACACATAGTCTTCCGTTTCTTTTTATACTAGCAAGAGATGACCGTTGGCACGCGACTTCATCTGAAGACTCAACCATTTGTTATAATATGAACACATACAAGTTGGTGGTTGTTGCTGTCAGCGTATATTTTGCGGACAAACTTATTGCAAGCTCTTTTCAAAGAATATTATATACTAATAGTAGAAATGTTATTTTGTAGGAGTGTATTGGTATATAAACTCGTAATATTCACTTACAAATTGATTTAGGACCACACGACATTAATTTTGTTAAAGATGTAGTCAGGTCAGGTTTAGGAATTTTCGTCAGATGATATTGTAAAACGCAATGTATATTTTTACTTCAGATGTATATCCGATTGGTAGGTATTTGTCTGGTAGCAGGAATCCTAGCAACACTTGCTTTCAACCAGAACTACACAGTGCCTACAAAATATGGTCCACTATCTAAAATTATTATAATTGCAGAAAATAAAAGTTTATATGTAGGAGGAAAAAATATTCTTCTCCACTTTGACTTGGATCTAAGTCTAAAGAATCAAGGTATAATTGGCCCTGTCAACGATAGTAAACAATGTAATTCTTTTGACAATTCTTGTATCTACATGAGATACCGAACAGTCAATAATCATATTAGTATATTGAAGTCTTTCCGGAACTTCCTGATCGTATGTGGAACAGCGCGCCAAGGTATATGTTACATGTACGATGCATCTGATATCAATCTTAAACATCATTTTGGTGAAAGTAAGAAAAATTATCTTGGAAGTGAAAATTCATCCGTTATGCTCATCACAAAGGACGAAAGTGGTGTTGATATGTTTTTCATTGGTCAAAGTTATGATAGCAGAAAAGCAGATTTCTTTTACAATGAGTTTGCAACGCTTGATATTTCAAAATCTAACAAGAACTGGAACTTTGATCATTACTCCGCTTGGAGTTTTCTTTCAGTATGTGATACCAAACGGGAAAACTTTAAATTGAAGTTTTTACATATTTTTGATACTAAGGAATACATTTTTCATGTTTTCATTCGATCAATAAACAATTCAGGAAGCATTTCATATGAAACAAGAATATCAAAATTGTGCAAGTATAACCTGGATTACGGTTCTTATGAAGAAATGCCAATTTCCTGTAAAACTCCTACGAAGTATGACATTGGAATAGCAGCTCACTACGACATCGAGCAACAAAAGCTATATATGACATTTGGTATAAGGGCATACAATGTTGATAACATTCAAGCCGATAATACTCAAGGTTCGGTCGTTTGTGTCTATACGATTGATGAAATGATAAGAAAGTTTGCAAGTGAAGTGTTGACAAAATGTTTTAAAGGATTGCCAACATGGGGGACACCATCATGGCACTGCAATTCTACCCAATGCACACAAGCTTCTAAGGTAAGTTTCATTATATTTTCATAAGTCTTTACTTACCCTTACGGAGTTTTAAAAAGGCTAGCTGGTTAGAAATGATTTGTTCGACGTCGATTTTAGTTGTCAAGGATTGTTAGTTTTCTGGCAGAAGATCAGTAGTTTCTTGTGGATACCCAGGCGTCCTCTGACAATAAAACTGGCCGCCATGATAAACTTCAGCAAGATATAAAAGTGTTTAGGTTGCATTAAACAACTGTCAATCAATCAATTCATCAAATGTCAGTTGTTGTTTTTAGAAGAGATGAGTTCTACAAAGAATATGACTGATGTTTTTAAGATTATGTTTTCATTATCCAGCCGTAAATTATAAAAAAAATTAATGTACATTAAAAATTCGAAATAACCTACAAAATGTGGTGCACACTTTTAAATAACACGCTACGCACGTTATTCAGGTTGCACTACATTTTTGATGTTATTATTTTATAGACAGAAAAAATATTGCAATCATTTCTTAAATAATTTAATTTAAGATGTAACACGTCTTCTGATTGGCTGAAAGTTTTTTTTTCTCTTGCGTTAAACAACAACTAATCAATCAATTCATCAAATGTCAGTTGTTATTTTCAGAAGACATAAGTTCTACAAGGAATGTGACCTAAGTTTTCAAGATTAAATGAACGCTTTTATTGATATAAATACTGATTTTTTTATGTATATTCAAAATTCGGTCGATGTCCATTTCTATCATACATTTTGTTTTGGAAATATCGCCCCATTAAAATATGAGTGAAAATATCTTATGAAAGAGCTGAATAATTTACGTAAAGCTAGCTGGATAAATGTGTAAACTTTATTTGAGTCCTGCACTATTCATATCAGTTACCAATTATAATAGGAGTTTGCTAAATAATTAATAAATGACTGAACCAAAACTATTTGAGGATTCGTTGTTGACTTATTGAAAGACTGCCTGTACCAAGACACCTTTCAAATGGGAGTTACAATTTCACGATCTTCATTCTGTGAAGGCACCTTTGAAAACCCAATTATATATAAATACAATTTTGAAATTGTTTTCATCCTAAAATTAGCTTCAATATTTGCCACAATTTGAGGGTAAATCAGATATCTTTTTGAATCATACATTTTCTTTTCGCAGGATGAATATTCAGAGGTGACATCTTCATTTCATAATGCTAACCAATACTAATAAAATGTATTTACACAATATTCATTTTTCTGTTACAACTGGCATGGATATATATACTATTTAATTAACAATGAAACATTTTAGTAGTACTTGATATGCTAAACTTTTAAAACTACTGACGTTGTACTAAATCTTGCTGATAGTGTTACGTCAACATATGACAAAAACGTATCATTTAATTAATAGACCCTTCCAGATGATAAATCCTGCAAACTAAAATTTGACTATGAAAAAGTGGTTCTCTGCATTTTTATTTCATTAATTACAAACATTTTAGCTAAATGAACAAATCTTTTGTGCAAAAAATTATGTTGGAATTAGTGGGTCTAAACACTAGTTTAGAAATAAATATAGTAGAAATATAACAGATTTTAGAAATTATCTAGACATTTTCTCGCCTTTTATCTCCGTTACAAATACCCAGTGCTACCCCTCAAAATTTAAAACAACACAAAAGATTCCATGATTCAGAAGTGTTTTTCTGGATTTACTATTCATTAGGAACGCTCATAGTCGAACATTTGAATGCCAAGGCTTATAAGAACCGAAACGGTTGAAGAGCTTTATGACGAAGAAAAACAACACAAAAACATAGTCAAACCCATCTAAGGTCAACTTTGACTGAGTGAGTTGAAACTTTAGTTTCTTTATAACATTTAAATTCATACACAGACAATTTTTGAAAGGTTTGTTATAAATTATGTCAGTACCGAACTACTGACTACTAAGACGATGATACCCTTAGGACTGATAGTCCAACACCAGCGGTATTGACCCAGTGCAGTGAAAAATAAAACAAGTACTATAAACTTCATGCATCTGAAGCGCTTTTCTGAATTTACCATCATCCATAATTCACAAAGCTGGATATCTGAATGCCAAGGATATATAAGAACCTAACCAGTTGAAGAGCTATATGGCAAAATAAGGACCTTAAAACATAGCCAAATCAATTGCAGGCTATCTTTGCCTGAGTGAATTGATACTTATTTACTTTATAATATAGAAAGGCTTGTTATGTCAGTACAGAAGTACTTACTACTGAGTTGACGATACCTTCCGGAACTTATAGTGCACAAGCAGCGGTATCGACCCACTGTTGTAAAATATGAAATCAACACAATAAATCTCATGAGTCCGAAGCGGTTTTCTGGATTTGCCTTCATTAAGAACGCTCAAAGCCGAATATTTTAATGCTAATGGTGTATAAGAACCGAAACAGTCAAGAGCTATATAGCCAAAAGGGACTTAATAACATTGCTAAATCAATTTAAGGTTAACTTTGCCTGAAATAATTTTAAAAACCTTTGTTTCTTTATAATCTATAATTTTATAAACGGACAATTTAATAAAGGTTTGTTATAAATCATGTCAACAAGGTAGGTTATAACCAAATTTACTTACTAACAACTTTTAGCTACCAAGTACTATCTCTAAGATAGGTTATAACCAAATATACTTACTAACAACCTTAAGTCATTGACATAAATAACTTATGTTGAAAATATAGCAGATTAAAAAGGTAAGGGGACAGGAAACTCAACTATATTGAATTATAAACCTCTAAAACGCTACGAGTCTATCTTCAAATTAGTGTAATATTCCAACAGAATTTTAAAAGACATTCCTCAAAACTTACAAGTTGGATCTTAAGATATTAATTTTTTTGCACGTATCAGGTATACTTTCAAATCCAAAAGACAACAACTATCGAGATTTCTTGAGTTGTCACTCGCATTTATATGTTGGGGATTTTTTTCTAAACCGTTAAGCTTTTTATTTTCGATCAGTAAGATACAAATAAGGTACATAGAAGAACAAAATGAGACTGTTGGTTTTTCTCGTTTGAATTGTTTTACATTTTGTAATGACTGTCTTATTACAACTGACTAAACGGTATGGGTTTTGCACATTGTCGTAGACCGTACGATGAAATGCACTTGCTAACTGCATCATCATTAGGACTTGGGTAGATTGTTGTCTCTTTGCAATCCTATCATATTTTTTTATACATATTTATATATATATCTATTTATTAACCTTAAAGTACTTGAAAGAAAAAATGAAAATACAATTATGTAGATTAAAACATTTCCATTTCATTACGTAAACATTTTTGTCCAAAAGTTTTATTAATAAAAAAATTAAAAAGACATTTTGTAGGGTGACATAATAAAATCATGTGAACAGAAGAAAATGGAATTTGGAATCGAGGCTCACGGTGACGGTTTTAGTAAAACAGCCGTTTATCAGATCTCCAATGAATTGTTAACCTCTGTTCTGCCACTGAGCAATAGTTCTGAACATATTATTCTTGCAGGAAGTAATACAGGATTTTTAAGAAAGGTACACGACCTATCTATAATATAACAAAAAAGAATTGAATATTAATTCCACAGCTGACCCTAAAATAATGGAACTCGAAGTTGAGTAAATTACTATATTCAGTTTTAAAAGTAACTACTGTTAACTATTGTTTCACTCACATACATACAGTAAAAGAGAGGCGAAAGATATAATTGGGATATTCAAACTCATAAGTCAAAGACAAAGTGACAAAGCCATAATAGCAAAAAACGAAAAAAACAAAACAAAACAAAACAAACAAAACATCGGTCTGCAAAAAAAAACTATATAGGAGGCTAAAGACTGGGCAACAATTCAAATACATTGATTATCAGGTAATTGCTGAACGATACAATGTGAAGCCTTTTAAAAGCTCGCCCTGAACTTTTACAGCATAAATATCCAGAAACACTGATAATTTTTACTTATAATATATAGCTAAAAAATCAGGAGAACCAATTGGTTATGGTTAATGAAAAGCCTTATCTAAAAAATACCTTTCCAAACGGAACTAATAGAAACAAAAACGTTCGAAATACATCGTCTTTTGTTTATTTGGAATTAAATCTTTTACACTTTATTGCTGTCAAGGGCAATACAATTGTCTCTTGTGTTGTTTTTTTAAGAACAACATCCACATAAGATACCTGTCTGAGGGTTATAATCTTGTACACCAAAGGCGCACTTCGCCAGCACATGACTCATTATTTACGCCTGAATCAAAACATATACAAGGCAAAACTAATGAGACTATTGAAGAGAGTTGGAAACCAATAATCCCACAAAAAAGTGCCAAATGTTTCTAAGGCCATAAATACCTTGGAAGGGATAAAACCCTTAGTCGAATGATTATATTTCAAACAAGTGAATTACTATGTATTTGTACTTTTTAAAACAATTTTCATATAGATTTTTATATCTATGTCCGATTCAAATCCTACTCCAAATGAACAAATAACACTTAAAAAATATAAATAAACATCTGTTGTTTGTCATTTAATTGAAGTTTATATTCTTGTAATTATTTTTTTCAAGATACTGGTAACTTCGACACAGAGTACATCGTACGTCAAATTTGACGTTAGCGGTGACAGAAATATTCCAGTTGGTAATGAAATGGTTCTAGATACACACAGCTATCTGTATCTTTTGACAGGAAACAGGGTGACTAGCATATGTGCAATTTGAAATAGTAACTGACCATAAACAGATTTGAAATGAATTATAACATTGTGAACGATATACAGGCTGCGCTGCGTGAACTTTAGAACATTGTATTCCAAATGGAACCAGTATAAATAATTTAATTTTTTCCACTTAGTAATTATAAATGATGCATCTGCAATGATATTTGATATTTTTGAATGTGTTTTCACCACATAAGTTTTTCTATCAGTAAATACAATAAGTAACAAGAACATATAAGACGAAATATATATTTCCGGGATTTTCTGCTCTATGGTCGGGTTGTTGTTTCTTTGACACATTCCCCTTTTCCATTCTCAATTCTACTCTTCAAATGGTTAACACTTTTAGCAGTGGTGTAAGTCTTTAAAAATAAACAAAAATGTCAAAAATGGACGCCAAAACGAGACGTAAAAGCACCAATAGTATTAATAGCGGATTTTAAAGGATATTAATCCAGTGGTTGCTGTTAAACACTTAAAAAGTACATGCAAAAATGGATAACAAAAATACCGAACTCCAAGGTAAATTTAAAAAGGGAGAGACTATAAAAAACTGACAAAATCAAATGTTATCAACCTACGAGACGAGTTGAAAACAAATAAACAATGTTATCATATTTGAGCTCAGAATATGAATTTAAATATTAAAACTTTATGATTTCATAATTCTTGTTGAGAGTTGCAGGTTACGTTTTAATGCTTCTATGTTTATTTTTTCTTTCCAGGTTACAAAATTGTCAATGACGTCATGTCAATTACACAAGACGTGTGGAGAGTGTGTACCCAGTGATGACCCACTTGGATGCGGATGGTGTTTCGATCATTGTACTACAGAAACCAAGTGTCAACACAGCAATATGTGGCATAATCAATCATGTCCGCCATTTGTACAGGGTGTAAGCTATAATTTATATAGAAATATATCTTCATATTTACAGCTTTCTAGCGTCAACGATTCGGTGCGCGTTTGTTTCACACTAAAGAGTCATCAAATATAATGTTATCTGCTGCTAATCCAGTATGCACAGCACACATGCAAATCAACATAAAATAGTAAATACATTGACTGGTAAGACTAAAGTCAAAGTTTCGTGTCTAAATAGAGTATATAAAAATAAGGAGATGAGATACAATTGCCAATGAGACAACTATACACCAAAGTTCAAATAAAGCGAATGTAAGCAATTATAGGCAACCGTACGGCCTTAAACAATGAGAAAAACCCATACCGTATAGTCGGCTATAAAAGGCACCGACATGAAAAATATGAAATAATTCAAGTGGGAAAACTAACGGCCTAATTTATTACAAAACAATGAACGATAAACAAATATGATAGACATGAACCAACGACAACCACTGAACTACAGGCTCCTGACTTGGGACAGGCACATAAAGAATGTGTCGGGGTTGAACATGTTTGTGAGCGCGCAACACCCCCTAACCATGGACAGTGATGTAACAGCACAACATAAGAACAAACTATAAAAAATCAATTGAAAAAGGGTTAACTGATAAGATCGATGACGTCTTCCTACAAGTCTGTTACCTTGTAAACTATTATGTGAATTATATGAAGCATCTTCAGTGCGTCGAAACTAACTGTTTTTTTTTATGATGCATTTTGTTATCTTTTAACTGCGGCTGAAAACTCCTAAAGCAAACTAAACAGTGGATTATCAACTCTATCATGTTGATTTTTTTGCTACTTGATTCACGCACACGTTTGAATGAAAATTAAGGATGTGGTGTAGCAATTCATGACATTAAATGGTTACATATACAGGACATTACCAAACGTAAATGAACAGCACTTTATTTGCTGTTTCATTTTTTTTCAAATATCAAAGTCACAGTAAAGCCTTCAAAATGGAACAAAACCTAACTATAGATTCAAGACGATGTCACTTATCACGCATGAAGACAAGCAATTCTATTGTATTTGTGAAGGAAATAAGCTGGAATTAAATAAAGTAGCGACAAATGGATATTTAAATATAACTGCAGCATTAGTTTTTTCAGCTTTGATATTGAAAATGGTAATATATTATTGTGACAGTGGTCATTCTTTTTTTTTCTAGATAAGCCCAGCGAATGGACCGCTGGAAGGGTCAACAAAATTAACTATAACAGGAGAGAATTTCGGTTCGATGGTAAACAATGCTAATGTATCAATTGGAGCTGCATCATGTTTGATCCAGAATATTAGTGATACAAGGTGCTCTTTAATTAACCTTCTTTAAAGTGTCCATTTCATATCTAAGTGGGTAGAACTAATGGAAGGGACATAACTTTTTAAATCACTGGAATTGATATTAACCATTTTCATTATTCGATTTCAAACTTCTCTGTAAGAAAGCTGGTTTTTAACTGTTTTCTCAAAAAACATCACTGAATCGGATAAATACAAACGTCTTACAGATTAAAAAAACCAATACCACTGCATCAAGGTCTAAATTGATAGCACTGATTTGATTATCCAGAACTTCAGTAATATTTTTGAAAGTACACTGGTATGAGTTTATATTCATAAATCATTGGATGAAATAAGGACATTTCTACAACTTAACATTTTGATATTGTTTGCCAATTTGTCTGAAAGTATAGATTGAATAAGTTTATTATTTTATCTTGAGGAAATATTTACTCATGAAGATGACTATGATACAGGATAGAATAGGAAAATGATGTTAAACACATTTTGTTTTCGTAATTTATATCATATGTTGTTACCTTTATTCACCTCCAGAATAACTTGTCTGACAAGTCGAGTAGGATTGCCTGTCCCTGCAGCTGTAAAGGTGAGCGTGACTGATTCGACCTCCAAACAATATAGGATTGATGGAATATCGGAACGCTTGGACATAACATTTGAATATACGGTATGTGAGAATACTTGAATGGATGCTTATAAGAAGTAATTTTTTTAAATTTAAGAAATATTCGTTGTTGTGATAGAAGAGGTCTTTTCCGTTTTACAATAGCTTTAACCCCTTTACTGACATGAGATACCATTGCTAGTAAGTCTTCCTATTTGTAAATGTACGGTTCTTAACAATTTCAAAATCATTCGAAATACTAAGATTTTCCTTCCTCGGGAATGAATACGTCCAGCATCAAGCGCATCTGATGGTAGTTTTCCACAGAGACACGTGACCTGCGCATTTAATCAGTCGTTTTAATTCATATTTCCGATTCTTTGACTTCAATTTTTTGCAATAAATGATTCACTTTAATTCTCTTGAGTATTTATTGCATAAATTTTCAGCAATCTAGTATTATGAATATCTTCCCCATGAAGGGACCAATATCAGGCAAAACAATGCTAACTATCACGGGTGAAAAGTTTGAAATTGGATCTATCCTTTCCGTGAAGATTGGTAAGATGCAGTGTGATATTCAAACGTAAGTGTTTTTGTTTTTCTTTACAATGTATTACATGTAATAAAGTATGACAAATTGCGACAGTTGAATTTGTTCCATGCATCTATCAACTCCCGCTGAGAAATTTGACCCTTGATGGATTCAACTATTTCTTTAGTTTATGTCCCTTTTAGTCATATTGTCCCTAACTTTTCTACGCTATTATACATCACTGGCTTTCAAATATTTTGGGTTTGAGCATCGGCTGAAGGTTTTACCAGAAAAGCGCATGTGACGCACGAAATTTATTATGTGTTATCTTCGTCTTACGCTTTTTGGTTTTCAAAAGTCATTAGTTAAATGTCATCATTTATAGTATTGAATTGTGTCTCACCTATTTTCTTTCAGGCTTCAAACTTGTTGAGCAACCAGATGAACGTTTTACTAGAAAAGCGCCTGGAACGCACGAAATCTAATTTGTGTTATCTTCATTTTACACTTTTTGATGTTCAAAAGTCATTAGTTGAATGTCATCATTTATAGTATTGAATTGTGTCTCACCTATTTTCTTTGAGGCTTCAAACTCGTTTTTGAAATCTAGTAATTTATAAGGATATAATATATTTTTACTAGAGTTTCTATGCAAACAATGTGAATGTTCAGAACACTTTGACTTGTATCTAATTTGCCACACTTAATTTTAACACGTACAAACGGTCTTAGCTTTTTAAACCTATCGCGTCACAAAACGGAGCAGTTAATAATCATGATTAAGTGTTTATGCTAAACGGTAAAATAGGAGTAAAATCAAGCTTTTTCGTTCGTTTTGATTGAAAACCGTGTCAAGTTGAAGACACTTTATCATTCAAAGCATGTGCAGTATTAGATTTGAGTTTAATATGGCATTTATAAAGGCATCTCTATAAAACATCATGTATTTGTTATCTGACAATCAAAAGATGAAAATTTAGCATCAAACGTAATCATTACAGGCATTCTATATTTTAGGAAAAATAACACAGAAATTGTGTGCCTCACACAATCTTGTGGAACATGTGAACAAGTTTTTGAAGGAGAAAATCTTGAAATGTCTAACTGTAGGTACAGCGGGGATATTGTAGTAGCGATTGATGGCGCATCATATCAGCCGTTAGAAAACAAGACATTTTGTTACATGCCAAATCCGGAGATTATTCAGCAACCATCACGAAATAGTACTATGATAAGGTATAAAAAATTAGGGATTGGATGGTATAATCCTACTCTTTTGAACAAAACACCGCAAACAATAGGTATAAAGCATTTGGTGGAAGAGACAACAAGAAACCCCCTTTATCGAAATCACTACCTTTCAGGTCTGGGCAGTGATAATCACGTGGCAAATTTAAGTGGCAAGATTGTGGAATCAAAGATAAAGATAAAAACAATGCCAAAAATTGCACATGCATTCTAAGAAAAATATTAAGATTCGAAAATCCATTCCTTGTTATTGGTTTGGTACAAATATCAAAAGAAATCCAATGAAAGAGGCACATGCAGCATGTGATGATAACGTTCTATTGCCTAAAAATCTGTAAGTTATATTTTTAATTTCCCATTGATGTCATATTAAAAATGGTTACCGTTCTTAAAGTGTACCTTAAGTTGTCCAACAATATTTTTTTCAGTGGAGGTTTAAACATTGAAATTCATGGAAACTGGTTTGATTCTGTTACCAATTACGGTATGCTGATAAGTGTGGGTGACGCTCATATTGGTTCGGTAAGTTTAAACATTAATAAATTCATATTCTTTCTAAGTAGAAAAATTAACGCCTTCATTGAAAGCTGGGAATTCAGCATGTTAAGTTATGTTTAGTTCTTCCACAAAATTCACTGATTGCGGAAAATATTTTTGGTTTGGATTCCTATATACATTCCTAAAGTTAAGAAATATTTTCTTTTAATCATCAGAAATCTTTGGAGAGAAAACAGTTTTGACTGGCCTTTAAATATATCTGTATGAAGTATATATGTTAACAAAGCTGTTCTCTTATAAGCACAGATATTTGTTTTTAAATCGTACAACTTATGTATTACGTTAAATTACGTTAAATTACTTTTGATTAGATGAACCAATATAAAAAATTGAATGACAAAGATATAAATCGAGGGCAGGAAAAGGATCTAAACACAAATGCAGTTTTCAGGCTTTAACAGTTTTGTTAAGATAGGATAATTTGTAGAGAATCTGTCATTTGTAACTCAAATAGCTTCTGACAGAAGATACTTATTTTGTATTTTAATTTTTTTCCCTATATTTCTATCTAGATCAGCAACTCACTCGTTTTATGACTTATGATTTTGAAACCATTTTACAAATCTGGTCAAACATTCATTTTTTGCTGAAATATTTTTTCATCTTCAGTTACTCATGATTTTCCCCTTTAAACAACATTTCCACCACACTTGCCGTATAATTGCGGCTACTTTTAATTTGTTGTGGAAGCCGGACAAAACCCCAAATTCCGCTGCAAACTTGTACACCCTTAATAAATTATGATCGGTGTTGAACGTATCTGCCAATAGAAATCACAACCTTAGACCACTCGCCAAGCTGTAGCTGACTTACAAATCGTATGAATTGTTGTAAAAGACAAACAGCGGGGGAAAGGTATTGCTATAGAACCCATAAATTCAGATGAAGTTCCATGAAAACCTATTGATCATTTGTGTAACTTAGTCTGAAATGTAATCAATTTGATATTTTAGTAAAATATTTGAATACTTGCTTCAACGGTTCTTTTGAAAATACTAAACAATGAATTTTAATATGTATTTACAGTTATGAACATATATAGTGCAAATATTTTGAAATGCTATTTTTTTCAGACTGTTTATAACGTCGTTACACTAATTCCATTGGGTCTTCATATTTTAGACCTGAAACAATTATTTATTTATCAACTAAAAAAGCTTCAAACTAGCTATCTTTGATTCAAGTGCTCTTGATCGGAATCGTGTATTTTTTTATTTTTTTTTTTTTGCTTTGCGAAAGTTATTTTTGTATGCTTCGTTTCGATCCAAAGAGTAAAGTCAGCTAACACTGACTTTTACAGTTTGTACTTGTGTTGTGCTTTGACATCACTGTTTGAGAAAACATAAGCCCCAAAAATGTTTAAAACCGCATTCTTTGTGTGAGTGTCTTAAATCATGAGACTTTAATGAAGTGGTTGGCGTTGGTTGCTGTCAGTCATATTGCTATTTTTCTGATCGTCTCGCGGCAAAGGGGGAAATAATTATATTTCAGAATTTGTGTTTTACAGTTGACCGGAAAATTCCGAATTTAAAGCTTTCTAAACACTAGTTGGTTAATCACTATTTATGACTACAGACAAAGAGTTGTGACAAAATTATTTATATATATAAAAAGTGTCATAATGTCTATTGATAATGTTAAAAATATGTATCTTAAAAATGTATTTTGCTGTTACAAATCTTCTTTCAAATTAGCATGCATTTACATGACACATAAGAAAAATCCTCAATATTTTGTAATTTGCTTAAACATTGCTTACATAGTCAGAACAAATATTATAAAAATACAGGATTTTCTTAATTTCTTTTCTGTAAATTCGAATGCGACAGTCTTTGTTTCCTATAAATCCTATGCTTTTCACTTGAAATGGATACCAAGAGTTGCTTCCCGTACCCCACTGAACACAAAGAAAAACATTAGGTTATCCCCCTTTTAAGACAGTTTAGGTCGTCATTTAAATTATTTGTTAGCTAATTTTCATCAGATAACAGTTAAACGAAGGTAAACAAAATGAATTCCATCCATATAAGGGACAAAACTATTTATGACATTATCTATCTTGACTGAGAAAAAAAAGTTCATTAGTTTATGACGTACAAGTGTTTCGTTTATTGTTTTTGCATAAATCATGCCGTTTGTTTTAACCTGCGTCACAGAAGGCGGGAGCAAGTCTAATAACCGCAATAATAAGCAATTTTTACATTCTGCAATGAATCCACTTCCTGTTTGCCGATGGTTTGAAACACTCATTCTTAAACGGAAAATTTTCGTCAAGGTTTTCTCCGCTCCAGTTGAAGGGAACAATTTAATATTTGGTCTACGGTTGTAGCGGTTAAGCATTTTTTTCCACTGCCGTATATCCAGTTTCTGTTTCCCGATAGTTTGAAATGTAACAACGCTCATTGTACAAGGAAACTTTTCGTCAAAGTTGTCTTGGCTCCTATTAAAGGGAATGATTTAATATTTGGTCTGTAGTTTTATCATGTTGAGTTGTAGCGAGTAAGAAGTTCTGACATCCACCGTGCTACAACGTTCCGTTTGTCTATAGTTTAGAATTTTAAAACAGTCAATGTAGATGGAAAATTTTCGTCAAAGTTTTTTTGGCTTCGGTGAAAGGGAATGATCAGTTATCCTCCAATATACATGTTAAATCAATTACATGCTGCGACGCAGGTCCAAACCCGGTATTGGTCTTACTTCTCTGATTTTTCGCATTTTGTTATGCCTGTTATTTTATACATACAATATGATAAATATTTTGTTAATTGACGAAGGCTGTACGGTGACCTATATTTGTTTACATCGTCGTCTTTTCGTCTCGGGTGTATATTTGTCATGTTAGAAATCACACAATAAATCCTTTTTCTTTAAAAGAAATCATCTGGTTGAAGAAATTTGATTCGACTCAGACTATATTGTGTTAAAAGGTAGCTGATATGACGGCGTTCAATCTCCTACATGGATAATGACGGATATTCAAAAAATTTCCTTATATTCTTTAAATATTCATTTCAGTCTTGTAGAATGAAATATTCCGGATCAATGTTGGTGTGTTCTACTCCTGATTTGACATCTGGCACTGGTCTTGTTTCTTTTGATTTTTTTTCGCATTTTGCTATTCCTGTTTTGTATACTTACTAACTATATGGTATATACTTTATTTTAAAATAAACGAAGGCTGTACGGTGACCTATATATTGGTTTACTCCTCGTCCTTTTGTCTCTGGTGTATATTTTTCATGTTGGAAATCACAATATATCCTTTTTCTTTAAAACAAAATCATCTGGTGACAGAATTTTGATTCAACTCATACTATATTGTGTTCAAACGTAGCTGATATGACGGCGTTCAATCATTTACATGGATTGTGACGGAAATTCAAAAAACTTTCTTATATTCTTTTAATATTCATTGCAGTCTTGTAGAATGAAACATTCCGGATCAATGTTGGTGTGTTCTACTCCTGATTTGACATCCGAATTGAACAAATCTGCAGAAGTTATCGTTGGCCGAATGACTGTAATGTTAGACAACAATCCAGTCAAATCAACCACGCTCATGATTTATCCTGACCCAGAATTAGACTACCTAGATATAGGCACTCAACTGAAAGAGATTGAAATGAAGGAAAAACTTTTAGAACTAAAGGTAAACAAAAACTCATGAAATATATATCTGCCTGATAAGTTGTTACGCAAAAGACGCGTGTTCCGTCTATATAAAAAAATCATTAGTGGCGCTCAAATCAATTCAGTTGGAAAGTCAATCAAGTACAGAATAAAATGTCACTAAAAACTAAAAGATTCGAGAAAAACTAGCAAAATATGACCGTCATATTTCATGTCAATACTGACGTGCTGGCGGGCTATATAATTTGGTCCAATAAGATATGAAAATATTAATTAAATCAAAAACGACTTTTACATTCGCATCATTACGGAGAATTACGCAGTTTTTTCACGTTGTTTGTCTGGCATGCACGAAGCGACAAATGAAAGTATTGGCGTAAATTGACAATCGTCCATACATTTCTATGAAACTTTCTCTGTGATACCACTATGCTAGTTAATCTTTATTTGTAATCTGCCCATTCAAAGAAATAGGCTATTGTTTCCAATTCGACTTTAAAACAAATGTTATTCTTTAGTTCAAGTTAAGTATGTAGTGAACTTCAAAGTTTTGTAAACAGTAAACAAACCCATCATCAATACTATACTACCAATTATATAGTTAACTCCTGTAATCCAACATAATGTTCCGTAATATGCTATAATAAAAGGGAGGAAAAAACGCTCATAACTGTACATAATAATAAACTAAAAACGTTGATACCGACAGCAAACTATACATAATACTTTAAATGTGACTAAAGGATATACATTTTAAAATGCTACAAAACAATAAAGAAAAGCGATTTGGACGTATAACATTTATAAATAAACTCATCATAGATACCAGGACTAAACTTTTGTACGCCAGACTTTTGTTTCTCTAAAAAAAGACTCATCAGTGACGCTTAAATAAATTAAGTTTAAAAAAAAAGCCAAATACAATACTAATTTGAAGAGCAGTAAGGGACAAAAATTTCTAAAGGTTTTGCTAAATAGAGTTAAGGTAATCTATTCCTTGGGTAAAAAAACCCCATAGTATTTCGAAAACTTCAAAGTTTTTATACAGTAAACAAACCCATCATAAATACCAAACTACCGTATTAAAACTTTGAACGCTAGACGCGCGTTTCGTCTACAAAAGACTAATCAGTAACGCATGAATAAAACAAGTGAAAGAGGACAAATACGATACGCAGATAAGATACAAAAATTCCGACAGGTTTTGACAAATGCAGCTAAGTTAATCTATTCCTGGGGTAAAAGTTCCTCAGCATTTAGAAAATTCAAAGTTTTGTCAACAGGTAATTTAAAAATATGACAATATTAATGATAATTCATGTCAGCACAGAAGTGCTGACTACTGGGCTGGTGATACCCTCGTGGCATCGACCAAGTGGTTGTAAAAAAACTCATCATAGATTACTAAGTGTTATACATTAAAAGAACCCCTTGGAAATGATCGGAAACGTTTTAATGTGCAAGCCTTGGAAATATATCAATGTATAAGTGCATTTTAAAGGCTTGTTTACATAATTTTTAAATTGTTGAAGACAGATTAGAGGACTACTTATCAAAACTATGTATTTAATATCACTCCTATCGGTTTGCTATAATAGTATTTATCGCTATTTTCCGAAATTTGCCTTTGATCTTACTGACTGATAATTTCCTTTCTCAGCACAGTACAGTAGAGTAGAGTAATATGAAAAATTATCGCTGGAAAAAAAGAGCGTACGTGCCGTTGTCAATGTAAACATCAACGTCGTCATAGGCAAAATAGCGATAAACAGATTATCATTGGTAATCTCAACTCGATTGCTTTTCTCACTTTCGCCGTACCGGCTCAAGCGAGAAAATCAATCTCGTTGAGATGACCAACGATAATCTAGAAAAACATCACACATTCTTTCTTTATAAGACAATTTCGTTTTTGAAAGTCAGTAAAACACATAGGATATTATGTTGATACCTAGTTAGATAATAACGATAATTCCAGAATCAGGTCCTTAATAAAGGTTGGGCAGATGTATAGCATAACATATTTTGTTCCAGGGGCGATATCTGAATTCTGCAGCAAAAAAGGAAGATTATATAATAAAAATAAATGGAACTCTCTGTCCTGTTATGGATCTCCATCAAACCTATCTGAAATGTAACCTTTCTAACACAGTTCATATCAAAGAATTGCCACTACTTGTTGAGGTAAATATTTTATCAAACACAATTACAAGAACTCTGCCTGTGATTTACATAATACATGTAGCATGTTCTCATATACGAAGGTTCGCGAATTTACGGTAGAAAAGTACTTAATTATGGGTTTTTTTTTTCTTGTAACTTGGTAAGGAACAATACCAGGGTTACTTCTGAAAAGATGAGTCTGTAAGTTGCAAGAACATCACATGTAACTCTTCAAGTTTATATAAAAAAAAAATGATTTTCAGATAAATATTTTCATTTTTTTTTTATAAATCTGTTTTCCAGCCACAAATACTCGGTAAAATTCGTACAATAATGCTATGCCGTTACTGTAAATTTGGTCAAATTCGATTCGCAATATGACCTGTGTAATTGAGACTTAATAATTTGTCTAATTGGATTTCAATTGACTGTTCTGTTTGGATAATTTTTTAAAAAGTTCTTTTTTTCATAATTTCTTGGACCTTAGTAACTACAACAAGGTTTTTTTCAATGCAACGAAACTCATTCTTAAAAAACTTATTCTATTATAGGGATATTGGCATACTGACATTTGAAGATTTAATATTCTTAAAAAAAAACATGAAAATAATAAAAAAAGACAGATGATATTTTCTCGCCAATGAGATTTATATACACAATAGACTTAAGGACGTTGGTGAAAGCAACTATTTGATAACGTACGACCTTCAACAATGAGTAAAACGCTATGTATGAAGTTAGCTATAAAAAGTCCAAAATTATGAAAAAATATAAAACAATTCAAAAGAAAAAAACCAAACGGCCACATTCATGAATTACAGACACACATATATGTGACAGAAGTTAACATATTTAAGAGCGTTCTACCTTTCTCATACTTCAGAAGGGTTAAAAATTGTAGGTTTCAAAAACTGAACAGATTTGACGTCCTTAGTAAAACATCTATTTGGGAAGACTTTCTGTTTTGCTTCTATTTATATATTCACCAAAATCAACAGAAAAATTGAAAATGTTTTGATCACATGACAGACAACTGTTATGCTATGCGACGTACCAAAATAATATGTTGACATGTATTAATACGGAGTCGGACGGGAAGTATATTGTACATAGAGCGAATTATAATTATTACAGACAATTAATATTTGTTTGGAGAATTGAGAATAATTCTTCTAATTTATAGAATGAACTAGATGTTTATGGTTAAAGATATGTGAATTGATAAAAAAAAGATAAATAAGTTAAACTATTTTTTACATTACAAGCATTTTATTATAAATGATGAAACTTTAATAATAAAAATGCAAATGAAACCAATGTTTTCTTCTTAAATGAAAAAAGATGATGTGGTTTTAATAAAAGTTCTACATCAGCGTTATTTTTACTTATATATCTTGTTAACCTTTCATCGTTATCGTCATATTTTGTATTTTAACGTTTTTGTTTTACTGAAAAGGTATCTGTAGGTCTTAACTGGAAGACGGTTTTAGGGTACATGAAGTTTTTCCATGTAGAATATCGTAAGAACCAAATACATGTCCAACTTGCTGCAATTTGTTTGGGGACTTTTGCTGTTTTGATTTTATGTCTTGTATTTGTTATGCGCAAGAAACACTTAGGAGTGTTTAGAAAGAAAGCAACAGAAGAGTTTTCTGTTGTGTACTTCAATAGCCCAGAAACAAGAGGCCTCATGGATCCGCCAAATGATACAGGTAATTGGATATTCAGCTTATACCCTCTTGTTTTCGTCTTTTGTGGTTTAATGCTTACAACCGGTTTATGCAAAATCAGAATATTTGCGATATTGTTATCATTTGGGAAAATCAAACGGGATAGGTATCGCAGAGATATAAACTCGCATTCAACATGTTCAAATTTAATATCAATATTTGTATGCAACATTTCTTGATATCGAGATATTAAATTAAACATTTTATTAATTTTGTAACAATAGCAATAAAAAATGCACACATAATTTCCGGGATTTACGATACTTTCCGACAAAAGCGAAACTGGTCAAATGAATTCCGGAAATTGTTTTCGAGCCCACTAGAATCGGTATTCTAATTTATATTCAGATTAACAGGAAGATACATTTAAAATAATACCTGATCTGAACTTTATGTGTGTTTACTCATTAAAATCATTCCAATACTTATCAATGGAGAATATTTACTCACATAGAGCATTCAGAGAATACACATGAATTTGGAATTATGTATTTTCGTGGAAGATGTAAGGTAAAAGTCAAGCAAAATTGTCATATGTTATATATAAATTAAAATCTATGAAATTGAAATTAGTTATAAAACATTTAAAACAGTAAATAAAAAAATAAGACAGCAAACTACTATACTGCAAACTAAGTTGAATGCTACTGATTTGGGTTTTCAAATACGTATTTAACCATAATTTGTGACTGTTAACACCTGAGTTGTTTTTAAAACTATCGACAACCAAAGGTCAGGGACAGTCAGTAGTATTGACGTCCGTCATGATTAAATGGAAGTTTTTCGGTTGTTTTCGCTGATATATTGAAGTATTGTAAAAATGGTGACATGACATTAGTTACGGGTTTAGTAAGAAAAAATAATGGTAAAAATTTAATCCTTTTCAAAAATCAAAAAAATTATAGTTGTTGACATATGCAGATATTTGAATCTGCTTGAAAATATGCAATCGCGCGTATTCTTGTCGTAAAAACACATTTTTTTTGTCAATTCATTTTGATTTTATGCTTTGTTTATAAGGTAATTCATCTGCTGAGCAAGGAATGCCTAGATATGTCAAACAGAAAAAACAGAGCGTTTCAGAGCTGGTTGTTGAAGGGGCTACATGGAATCCAGGATTTGACGCTATTGGAATTGTTGACATGCTGAAGCAGCAAAATATCTTTATTGAACGCGATTTGGTTAGACTCGGGCAAGATATTGGCCATGGTGAGTATGTTATGTTTTTATCAAAATTTTGCTCTTCTAGAATAACGTATATCTCTGGAAATAACTTTGAACAAAAAAAACCATTATCGACAGGGCGAGCGTAGATAAACTATGATAAATAAGTACAACCTTGCAAGTTGATTTATTCTAATATTCTGAAATATGATGCAATGTATTTTCAAAAAAACTTTTCTCAAAAATAAAAATAAATGGATCTTAATCTTATAACTTCACTTCCAGATATATAAATGGCGTCCTTACACTGAGTATTCTTTACTTGAATGTCATATGTCCAAGTGAACTTAGATAAAGATAAGAAGGCTTGGTTGTATTTAGATCTTTTCGATGAAAACCGGATTCTAAGATCCATGACAAACGCAGTCGACTTCCCGCTCTTTGAATAGAGACCATACATCTATACTCTAAGTTTATACGATATTGAATAGCGTGTTTTAAGAATTGCCTACAGTCGTTTCTTCACATGTTTTGTCGTCAAACGGGTGCATTGATACACTGTCTCAAAAATCAAAGTTGTGTTTTCTGCTAACGTTAAAAATCCCTTTTGGCCATTCTCTCCAATCGCTGGTTATTAATGGTTTAATCATGTTCCAGATAATTCAGAAATCAGTCGCAACGGTCTTGCATGCCTATATATATAGTAGGCTATTGATGTTTACGCTGTTGATGAACCTTGTATAATTCGGAGCTCGATCTATTCCAAAATATGTCCTAGGTCCTGATTTATGGTATTAATAGTAGCATCTGTAAAAATTATGAAATGAAAATGCATTTGGTCATTATACAAATAATTATTATTAATTTCTATCTAATGAGTTACGAAAATAAAGGAATTTTTTACAGGAAATTTTGGATGTGTATACCAGGGTTATCTGCGATCAACAGAAGAAAGGGATGAACAACTTGTTGCCGTCAAAACTGTTCTTAGTAAGTAAGAAATGGAAAAAAAAGTACAAGATACACCCTTAGTTCTGTCTGTTCATTTCAAAATGACTGTGTGCGTAATAATTCGATATACTATTTTTCCATTGGTAGGAAGATAATTGGTATATTCTCTTTAGTAAAGATGTTAACTTTAACAGAAAACAGGAACCGAAATTTAACCAAAAAAAAAACCAGACATGTCATCGACCATTTGTAAGCTAAAAGAATTCAGATATCTAAATTTAAATAAGCAATCTATTATGATAAAATCAAATAAAAAGTAAAAGGCACCGCGTATTTAAATATCTTTAGTGTCAATTTATTTAATTCAGTATATGGGGTTTCACTTACAACATAAGTTGTTTACAGTTTGTCATCCGAAAAAAGCTGAACATGAAAAAAAAATCAACTAGATAGCTAATTTGTTATTGTTTCATTGATTACGTGGCATTCGATATCTGTATATTTGACTTATGGGACGGATAACGTCACAACATATTTTCAGTACGTGAGATTATCAACTTATTTTGTCCCTTATGATGCAAGTAGTAGGAATACATGTACATGTACACTTTCACTTGACACTTGATCCTCAAAGGCACAGTTGATTTTCTCCAGTACTAGTATTATATATAGCCTTTGCTCTAAATTGTTTTCGTTGTGTGGGTTTCCATATAGGTTAATCTAGATGAGAGTTATGTCGCACATAGACAATAGGATGTTGTAAATTTTAAAATTGTTTTATGAAATCGTTCATTTGCACATGGTATAGATTTGAGGGTAGTATATACTAGCATAAGTTTTTTTTACTTTGTATACAAAAATTAAAATTGAATAAATCGTATTTGCTACAAAAGGTGATCGAAGTCCTGACGCCCAAATATCTTAAACAATAAAAATGACCCCCCGTCCAAACAAGGATATGACTGTTAGTCTCAAGTTAATCTAACCATATATCCTTACTTTCTCTATTCTTGAATAGCCGAGGCAAGGCTTTCACTTGATTTTTTTTACAACTTAAAATCAACCCAACAATGTTAGATCTGTATTTTTACACATGTAAATTGATATAATATTCTAATTTTATTTCTCTAACTCTTCGTCAATTTATACCTTTCTGCACCCATTGTATGAAAAATTTAATCAACGTGTGGTTCATTTGATCTCAGTTATTCATTGGTTAAAATCCGATTATGACGTCGAATTTTCTTGCTTTCCTCTGAATTTTCTATTGTGACGGCATGAAAAAAGGCGATCATGCCTGATGACGTCATATAGAAAGAACACATCTTTTTGTAGATCATTCGAAAAGACGGAATAAATTTGCCTGCGTATTGTTTGAAAATCATTAGAGATACAGATTCCACCACCAAATCTCGTGTAATACGATATCTATCCACTCTCAACAGTTAAATTTGAAAATTTAACTGTCTCGAGTGGATAAATATCGTATCACACTCGATGCAGTGGTAGAATCTATATATATATATATATATATTCAGTCTAATTTCTTCCAATGCTATCAATAAATTGTAGAAACAGAAGTACAGGACATAAACGCAATCCTTGATGAAGCTTTGATCATGAAAGATTTCAATCATCCCAATGTGTTGTCACTGATTGGTATTTCTGTCGCTCCTGGTGAATTCCCGTTGGTTATCATTCCGTTTATGTCAAATGGGGATCTACTGTCTTATATTCGTAGCGCTGACAATGTAAGTTATAATACATATGTTGCAATTATTTGTGTTGTGTCTATCCCCTTTTGTTTGTTAAAAGTTGCGAGAATCCCAGGAAATATATAAATAAATGCATTGTGATTGGTAGATCCCAATATATCATGAAGATTCATGACCTATTAGGAAGAACTATTTTATGTTTAACTTTTCAATTAATGCTTGTTCTGATCTGGTCAGTCAATCCGTTTCCAACTGATTGTTTACAGTCCAGGCAAAAGGGGGGATGTGCGCTCACAATCATGTTGTCTGTAATTTAATCGTCGTCGTTGTTTGCTGCCTGTTATATCTGTTAATATCTGTTGATTTTTCGTTTGAATTTTTTCGCATTTTGTTATGTCGGACATTTCTATAGCTTACTGAAATGGTATTGGTCTTGCTCATTGTTGAAGGCCATACGGTGACATATAATTCCTTTAATCCACGTTATTAGATTTCTGTTGGATAGTTGTCTCCTTAGCATTCATACCACATCTCCTTATTTTATATTAGGTGTTAGAGTACTCAGATCTAAAGCGTTGTTAGGGTAAATAAATCTGGTATTCTCTGGACTTGTCCCGTCCATCGACAAATTCTTGCTAAAATACTGAGCTTCCATTTTGGTTTGCTTGAATTATAAATACGGGGCCACATCCAGTTGAAATGGTGACTTTAATCCGAAGTCTGCGTTTATTAAAGAATCCTCGCAACCACTCTGGTAGGTTGAAGAGGATGTAACAAATAACAAACTATACCATATAAAGAATACGAGCAGCTACTGAAAGAAAGATCAAATTAGTTTATCTGGTGATATCAAACCATATTGCCCTGCACTTAATATAGGTTATTGTACTTCATAGAAGTTTTCATACAGCAAAGTCGTACAAAATGTTTACAAAGTGTCAAGTAAAAGAGAGGTAAAAACTATAGTTTTTTCTTGACAAAACAACTTTAATTTGAATTATATTATTTACAGAAGCCAACTATTAAAGACTTGGTAAAATTTGGACTAGATGTTGCTAGGGGCATGGAATATCTTGGCAGCATCAAATTTGTACACAGAGATTTAGCAGCCAGAAACTGCATGTAAGAAGTCTAAAAAACCTTAAATTTTCACATCACTTGTAAAATTCAACAAATTGTTTTGAACTAAGTAATATGTATGAATTTTGCAACAGTCAAATAGTCTAATAAATTACAAAACACATATGTTAGTTTAATTTAGATAGGGAATGCTTGAGAAAATATATTATTTTTTAGCCTGTCGTGGACTGTACGATTTGTGGTATGCCATTGTCCGTCCGTCAACACTTCGTACGCTAACTCAAAGCTTTAACCAACTCCCATGAAATTCTAGATTGACAAAAGAAATCTGGTTTTGATTTTTTATGTATTTTGTTGTTCCAGAGTTACATGTCCTTAACCTTCAGATTTAATGCAGTTTTTCACATATTGCGCATATATAACTCTAATATACTTGAATAGATTTCCACAAAACGTTACTCTATTGTTGGAATTCATAAAATTGAACTCTCTTTCGATACTAAAATTTTTCTGGTTTGTCGTTCCAATGTGATTAAGCTATAACTGTCAGGTTTGTCAATTTGTTTACATGTTGTACAACAGTTTGAGTATCATTGGAATGATTTACTGGAATCTTTACATTAGTGAAAGTAAAATTATGTTCGAATTTGGTACTTTGACCGTTAGATTAATAAAAGACAATGATTACTTTTCATGCACTAGGTCAAGTATGCTTGAATCAATTTACTACACACTTTACACTGATTTTGGGAGAGCTGAATGCAAACTTGCTTTTGATTTTTGAAAATATTCTAGTTAGCCGTTCTAAAGTTAAATGTAATTTTAAAACAGTCATATTTAACGCAATACCAAAACGACTAAAGATATCCTCATGCACGTTTTCTACAGACCCAATTTATTAGCTTTTGATAAGATATCTTCTAAATTTCATTTCATTTTTGCAACAATTGTAAAATGCACAATATTCACAATACCGGCGTAACATGCGCTCTATACGCAGATGCTTATTTAAATTACTATGTAAACAAAAATACTAATTCTCAAGACTCTTCGATGCAGTTCAAGTCAAAGTGATTGTTTGTGTTTACGCCACATTCAGCGTTCATGGCTATATCGTGGCGGTGATGTTATTGTGGTAAGGGAAGCTTGAATACCCGTAGAGAACCACCCATATTCGACATAAAAGCAGCCAGCCCTAGTCAATTAAGATAGTAGTCGAACGCACCACGCCGCGACCAGGGTTCGAACTTACAACAGAAGCCACTTCAAGTTAGAAATGTGGTACGGCAAGACATAAGGCTGAATTCCTTATTTTTCGATTTTTAACACGTGAGGCAAAATTTTAAAAAAAATGTTTTAATGTCAAAAAGTGATAGTAAATAAATGAATACATGAATAAACGATTAAATGCATGAAGTAGATTGTAAAAGAAGTGAAGAGGCAAGCAAATATATTCTTTAAGCAGATACCGATTATAAAAATATCGCACAATTTGTATTTGGTATCGAAGAAAAACATTTTGCACTTATTGTGAGAAAACGTTTCCATAAAAAAAGAAAAGTTTTAGAATATTTAAGAGCATGAAAACCAAAGGGCCTATATAAAACAGTCACTTTTGCTTTATCTCACAGGATGGATGAAAACCTAAAAGTGAAAGTAGCAGACTTTGGGTTGGCTAGAGATATTTATACGAAAAACTACTATAGCAGTGACAATAAGAAACTGTTACCAGTAAAATGGATGGCTCCTGAAAGTCTAGAAAATGGGACCTATAGTACAAAATCAGATGTCGTATGTAAATTAATTGTTATATCCATGTTATTCACATTTGTTTACAATGAAGTTAAAATGATGTTTTCATAAGGCACAAGTTAATTCGAAGCAGTTGCATATTTTGGTCTGGTCATACTCAATTTGTCTGCATCATATGGAACGTTACACAGAATTTTCCGAAGTTATAAAAATTGCAGATGACATTGCTCATAGTTTTGCTAAATTACATATAAAAATATATTCAAAATGTATCATTTCTGCTACACAACTTGCTTTAAAGACGCATACTTATATTCCATGAAAAAGGTCTAATCATATCAATGGTATATCTCACACAAAAAGAATATGTTTTAAAACAAAAATGCTCTTGATGCAAATTTGAAATCACGATAGCTGGCTGAATACATATCTCATCATTACAATACCTTAGTTTTGATTGTTTAGAAAAAAAACCTTGCTCAACAAAGGATTCCAGAATGCCTTCTTGATTCAACTGTATATGCATCACTATACACAAGTCTGAACATTTCTAGTTTTAACTCTTCTTTAAATTCATATGATACTTCAAATAATAATTTTGTCGTTCAAACTGTATGGATTTGTAATTAAGTTAAAAAAAAAGTGCGCATAGGACTTAGTTTAATATATATGCATGCATTGGTTTAATTTTTTCAATAATTTCAAGAAACTCGTTTCATATGACTTTAATCAGTTAACAATTTTGAATATGTACAACCTTGCAGTATAACCACTTACATTGACAGATAAGGAAAAAAAACCATGCATGTAATTTAATTGTTAGAATATTCTAAATTACTGTTTTAACTAACTTGTATATTGTAGTGGTCGTTCGGTGTAGTTATGTGGGAATTAATGACCAGAGGTTCTGCACCTTATTGTGACGTTAACAATTGGGATATGCATAAATATTTACAATCTGGCAGGCGCCTAAAAAGAACTGATTTCTGTCCACCACCATTGTAAGTTTATAGATACGTAAATATTTCTAACGAATATAAATATATAACACAAACATACCCATACCACAATACTGCATGCTATAATAAGGGGACGAACATTTGATATTCTGGATGGGGGTGGGGTGGGGGTTTGGGGCAGAACGATAATGAATAACTTAGCCGCGGAAGAAAATAAGGATGCGTAGCAACTAATGAAAATAAATAAGGGGAAAATCCTCCCCCCCCCTCCCCCCCCCCCCCCCCCCGAAGAATATCAAATGGTCATCTCCTAATATTTAACAGGAACACTCGATACGGAATATTTTTGAAGCCAAATACGTAGAGCGTTTTAAAGCATTTAACTATGAGATATACATTTGGTAATTTGAGTAAACTTTAATTCGAAATATTAGTAAAATTTATCAACTGAAAAAAACAAAATCCAAATGAATAATTTACCGAACTCGAATTGTCTTCATCATATTCACTGTCTCCTGTGGAGAGTTGTCTCATTGGCAATCGTACCACATCTTCTTTTTTATATGTAAGATTATCAGTTGTTTCCCTGTTTTAGACATTACAAAAAATATTGTGGTCAAGCAGATGACAAAAAAAATATTCTGAATCCAGATTTTCCCCATACCTTATAGTGTTAAATTTTGAAAAATAATAATTTGATTGATAGCGTTGAAAAGCTAAAAAAAGTTTTTGACTGAGACAAAAAACCATGACCTCCCCCCCCCCTTTTAAGTTTAATGGTTGCTCCCTAATCATAAAACACCAGCGTCTAGCTATCAAGCGCAATATACCCTTAACGAGTATCAGCCCAAATACAGTGGTATTTTTAAGTGGAAGCAGAAAACGTTTAATAAGGATTCTATAGCACACGTCATCTGCTTCTAAAATCAATTAAACTAGTGGTATAAAACAAAACTTGTCTTTGAAATGTTTATAAGATTTAACAGTTTTGATATTCGAGCACGGTTAAACTCAAGGTTAACTACTAAGATTTCTTTATTGTTACTTTAAGCGTATAGTTGAAACGAATCAAATTAAATATTTTTATTTATATAAAATATTTGGTCATAATTCACATTTTTATACTTAATTTGTTTTGAATTTTTGTTCTCATTTAATTAGATATGAGATAATGATGACATGTTGGGAATTTGACCCAGACGACAGACCAACGTTTCAGGACGTTAATCAGAGGATCACTGGATTAGTAGAACAGGAAAAATAGAAGAAATTTAGTTTTGATATTATGTTGACAGTTACTTCATTTTGATTATGAACCAGCGACAAATTTTGTTGATTTCAAACTCCTTTTATTTATAAGACCCAATGAGGCACTTTTAACCAAATAATATTTTTGTTAAAAAAAAACCAACAATCTCAAACAGTGTCATAGAGAGAGAGAGACAGAAGATACGAAATACGGGGCACTATCGTAAGTCTAATTAAAAAACCCCAGACAACAGCATGTTCAAAAATAAAACGACGTAAAAACAATGAACAATAAAATCATCGCACGTAAAACTAAATATTGAACAACACAAACCACACAAAAAAACGTGTGTGAACATTTTGGTTTTAAAATTTTAACAAAAGCGGAATCGTATATTATTAGCTTAAAGAATTTTTTAGAAAATTACATTCGTATTTTATAGAAAATTATATTAACACACAAAAAGTCTTAAACCAAAACTTTCATGGACGCAACGACCGGAAAACACCATTATTATCCACTATTGTATGCGGGAAATACTAAAAATAGTGATGTCATCAGGGATTCAATGTTTTATTAAACGATTTATTAAATTAAAAAAAGAAACGCATAATCGCGGAATGCAGAAATAAACTGCAATATGCACAACTGTACATATTTATACATATCTGTGTTCTCAGAAAAAAAATTGATTTAATCTTTTACATTTCTATTTTTATTCCTGGTTTCGCTTGTGGATTTATGTTTGCGTTCTTTGTTTCAACAAACCGAATTCCTTTAACTCAATGCCATTTTTTGAGAAAATGTCCCTCTCTATGTCTTCCTCTTAATTATCAAATTACCTTTCGCCCCTTTTTACTTGACTGGAATTTTGGATTAAGATCAAAAATATTTTTTACCTATCCAGAGAGTTTATTTTCTGAAACCTATAAAAAAATGTATTATTTCTCCTTGCCATCTATTTTTAAAACTAGCCAAAATTGGTTACTTCTCGTCGTAAACTGTAAGAATTATTATCCGCTACACATTTAACGCTCGGTTCTTAAATACATAAACTCTTGCAACAGCTCTTTGAGGGGTCCGTATGTGGCCTGTTGCAAGGCAAAATTTCTGTCCCTATCCAATATACCCTTATTTTCCAGTGGCAATCTAAATTTCCTCAATCAACGGCCTCTATTACAGGAGCTATCTATTGTATTTAATATTAATTTGTTCTCGTCCTGAACATGCATGAAATATTTGCCACTGGACGTTAAGCAACAAAAAATCAATCATCAATCAATCATAAACCTAAACTACCTTTTTTTACATTGATTCCTTCATCTTGTTTTGTTCTTTTATATTCGTAATGTATTTCTTAAAATCATTACATTGTAAATATGAGTATTAATAACTATGCAACTTGACAACATACCAAAAAATAAAAATGAAAATAATAAGTACATTAACTGTTTCATATTTGATCATATTTTAGGCTTTAAATTATGCAATGCAATTTTTTTATTAGTAGTTAATATTTTTGTACGGCAAAACTAAAGACCTAATACGTACAGAAGCACTTTACTTTGAAATTACTTAAACTTTTAGAATATACAAATAACAAAATTCAAATGTCAAAGGTATGAGAATTTTGAAAAAAAGGTATAATGAACCCAAACATAACCTGAATATATAAAAGTTGAAAAAAAAAATACACGTAATTATTTTCACAAATTGAAAGTTAGCACGAATAGAAGAAGATTTTTTTGAACATTTATAATGAAGAGAAAATAAAACGTCTGTGCACGTTACGTATATCTGAAAGAACAAGTATCAGGTATACTCAATCAAATAAGTTGAAAAAACAATTTTTAGAAAAAATGTGTGATATTTAAATAATACTAGTAAAAAAGCACTAGCTGCAGAACTGATGATTAAAATAGTTACTCTGAGAAAATTTGATTTCAGTTCCCTGTTTGTTTATTATATTGTTGAATTCAGTAATAGATATATAAATAGTAAAGATTTATTTCTTGTTGACATCTGATGGATGAAATTTGTCTTACTTGTAATACTTTTTGAATTTCAAATTCAAGTAGACCAAAAATATATAATTTCTCCTTTGTTGTTTCTTGGCTGTTTCATCAATATGTATGTATTATATATATAATTTTATATGAAATTTTGTTTTTGTTTTTATTGAATGCAATATTGGTGATAGACACGAGTTATACAACTATCTGCCAAACATGCATGTCTGCTCTTTTACATTTTGTGGTTACTCTCAAGTTACATTTATATTTTTTTGTGTGATTTTTTTTACATCAAATATCAATTAATGAATTTTTGTATTATGATATTTTAGAGAATTGTCCATTTCTAATTAACTATTGCTTGTAAACCTTTTTAAAGATTTGCTCATAGGTTTTAAAACGTATGATTAACTGTTTTATAAATGCTCAATTTTTCTTTGATTTATTTGCATGTCTGTATTTTGATTATAAATAAATTTATATATTTTTTTTAATTTGTTCCGTTTATTTAGTAGGATACATTTGCTGCGCATGTCACCTGTTTCTTGTTTTACCATCATCATGTACGATTGACTTCAAACGCTTTGAAAAACATATAGACAATGATAAAAACACAAAAAAGGAACATTCACAACTATTCAAAATAAAGGGGACATCGGAAAACTACTTTTTGATAAATATAAATGTAGAAGACAAATGGACATTTGACATCGGCGTACATTAACGTTCAAAAATATCAAACAAAAGGTTTTAATGTTGATCAGAAAATGTATATACTGTTGTGTATATATATATTGATTGCCTTAAAATATCATATGTGAAAATCTTGTATGAATGATTTAACATGTTTAACATCATCAAAATTGATCAATAACTACTTTATGTTGTATAAATGCTTTAGGCGTGAAATATGATGTGTTTCGTTTCTAAAAGCACTACGTAAAAAGTAAAATCACAAAAATACTGAACTCCGAGGAAAATTCAAAAAGGAAAGTCCCCAATCAAAGGCAAAATCAAAAAAACAAACACATCAAACGAATGGATAACAACTGTCATATTCCTGACTTGGTACAGGCATTTTCTTATGTAGAAAATGGTGGATTGAACCTGGTTTTAAAGCTAGCTAAACCTCTCACTTGTATATATTCTTATATATATATAAGTGTTAAGATTTGCACAACGGTACTAATATAAGATGTTAATATACGAAGATGATGTTATAAAATCGTGTTGACAAATATTTCGGCTTAACAAATAGCCTACGTCAGTGTCAATACTTTTTACAATACTGATTGTTTATTTTGTAAAAAAGCTCAGTAATACTGGTAAGTTTTGGTCTATTGATGTAATCCCAAATCTTGAACCTCATCAAATAAAACAAAACTCAAATACTATATAAACGTGCCTGCGTATACATATACATTCCAAAGTGTCAAAATGCAGTAGTATGTAAGAATGTGTGTAAAATAATAGAACAGTCTCTTTATAAAACTACTAGTATTTCATATTGATGCCGTTAAGATGAAGTACATTTAGTTCCTTTATCCAAAAGCTTTCCCGAACCTGTCACTTTGCATCACAGTGACTCCAGTGAATGTTCTGTTCAATCACTAGAATTTTCATGCGGTTAAAGTCATCAATTTTGTGACCCGATTATCTAAAAGGCTGACTTACTGGGAGGAGTGACTTCTTATAGATATCACTCCTATGGTAATTGAGGCGTTTGTAGAACGGCTGCTTTGACTCACCAACATATTGGGGGTCACAAATCGAATATATATATATATATGAATGAGTTCCAATCCCGGCTAGGGAAGAACAAAAAAAATTTGCTAACGCAAATTTACAGATCTAACATTGTTGGGCTGTTATTTAGACGAATTATATATACAGAAATGTGTTTTCAGCCTTGTATCACCATCAGTGGTAATCCGATGGATAAAATCTGTTGTAGAGTCGTGCTGGTTTAGACGTTCTTATATATATATAAGTTGTCACGTAAGTAATTAATGCTCTAATGAATGAACGTAAACACCAAATGATGACAAAGTTAAAGACCAGAATCACTTTATTTCTAATTAACGAAAAAAAACAAAACTCAGCTTAATAGCAAAGTGGTCACTACAAATAGGCAAACATATTTCATTATAAATTCATAGTGATTATATGCTTCTAAAATATAGAACAGCATCCTGTAATTATACTGAAAAGATGAGTAGATGAGCATTCCCGTACATTTAAAAATACTTCGTGTATTGCGATTAGATGTCCTTGTTTAAAATACCTACGAAAAGGTCACACCTCCGGAAACGAAAGCTGGTTTTTTATCAGCTATAGTTAGAGGTGGGGATAAGGCGTCTGCTCAATGCTAGGTGGTGTTGTTGTAGAAGTGAAATGTGAAAAGTACAGGTTCCAACCTCGCTCGGGGAGGAAGTAAAGAATCAGATCTACTCCAACATTGTTATGTTGATTTTTCTTGGCACTTTATATATATATATATATATATTCGTTTTTATAGATCACAGTTTTTTCTCTTCCATAGACATATATATCTTGAAGAATGACTGCTAGAGTTTTTTTCGTGCATATTCTTTTCTTTACGGGTCCTCGGATTTTAAAGCCCTCACCCACACACTATTTGAGTATGAGGAAGTCCTTTGCTAACTCTAAACGATTGAAATCCCTATTTAAGTTGTATAGGTCAAAACGACAGAGACTAACTAAGCTTTCCAATAATTGTTGAACATTTGTTGAAAGAAGACATCATGTTTTAGCCGCTTCCAGAAATCGAACAACATTAACAGAGTTTCAATGTCCCCCAGCGTTGCACATATTTTATCTATCCAAGGTACAAGGGCAATAACTAAATAAAACACTTTTTTTGTAGCGCTAACAAGGCTATTTTCCATAAATTTAATATTTCCAAGGGGCATAACTCTTTTTAAAAAAGTCGATCGTCCACCATTATAGAACTTGTCCGAGATATTGCTGATATTAACCTATAGTATAAGTTTTATAAAAATCTGGCAAGAATTGTACCCGTGAGAGCGCTAACGAGGCCATTTTCCATAAATTTAATATTTCCAAGGGGCATAACTCTTTTTAGAAAAGTCGATCGGCCACCATTATAGAACTTGTCCGAGATATAGCTGTTATTAACCTATAGTATAATTTATAAAAAAAATCTGGCAATAATTGTACCTGTTAGAACGCTAACAAGACCGGACGGACGGACACATGGACACACGGGACAGACGGACGGACGCCCGGTCTTTCCATGTCCCTGGTAACGCGTTACGATGAGGACAAAAAATGTTAACATATGAAAACTTAATTTGAATGTATTCATGCATTAAATCTACCATCAAATTATTTATTTGCGTTTTATCATTTCCGTGTAATTGTAATGTTATCGATTACACTAAATAATCAAACTAATCGTGATTTGATCAATTACATTTCAAAGTAATCGACCCCATCGCTGATAGCCAATTATGTGATATGTAACGTAAGGCGTTATGCGATATGCCGTAAGTATTTATTATGTAAAAAGTAAAATAACAAAAATACCGAACTCCAAGGAAAATTCAAAACGGAAAGTCCCTTATTAAACGGCAAAATCAAAAGCTCAAAAACATCAAACGAATGGAAAACAACTGTTATATTCCTGACTTGGTACAGGCTTTTTCTTGTGCAGAAAATGGTGGATTACACCTGGTTTTATAGCTAGCTAAACCTCTAACTTGTATGACAGTCGCATAAAATTCCATTATATTGACAACAAAGTGTGAACAAAACCAACAGACATTATAGATGAAAATGTCAAAAATAGGGGAACAGTAGTCAACATTATGTTATTATTTTAATCACTATAAAAACAAACAAATATGTCAACAAAGAAAAACACAAAATGGCATATAGACAAAGCACATAAGTAAAAATGAAAGACAAGAATATAAAAATTGACAATAACACAATGACGAAGTACCGAGCCACGCCAAAGGGATATTACCAAAAATGGACTAAACAGTAAAGGTAATAATTTACAAAGACAAATAAAAGAGCGCTATAACACGTAACTGAGATGATAAACAATGTCAGTACCTAGAATCTATACTTCGAGATCATCATGTATTATTTGTGAAGTTGATACGGAATACTTATGAACAAGGTCTTGGTATCTTCCGATGAACTTTTTTTAGAAAAAGGACCAGACGTTCCTTGACATAACCCTGGTTCATCAACTTTCTGCTCAGACACTGGTGACGGTTTATAAAATCTGAGTAAATAAAGTAAGGCATTATGCGATATATGCCGTAGTTATTTATTGTGTAAAGTCAAGCATTATTCAATGTGTCGCAATCTTATTTAGTATTCATAATTATTTATGCGATATTTGTAATACATAAGCGTTTGTATCGTATTATGACGTATAGTATGTATTTCGATAGGTCCCAGTCATAGGGCTTAGTAGTTGGTAGTATGTAGTATGGCGCACACTATTGATTAGAGCACATTGGCTAAAGGTGTAGGGGGAGGGTTGAGATCTAACAAAAAATGTTTAACCCCGCCGCTTTTTTGTGCCCGTCCCAAGTCAGGAACATCTGGCCTTTGTTAGTCTTGTATGTTTTTTTTTAATTTTGGTTCATCTATATTGTTTCGGAGTTTAGTGTGACGTCCATTTTCTCTGAACTAGTACACATCTTTGTTTAGGGGGCAGCTGAAGCTGTGTAGAAGACCCTTTGGTGGACTTCGGCTGTTTTTTTGCTCTTTGGTCGGGTTGTTGTCTCTTTGACACATTCCCCGTTTCCATTCTCAATTTTATGGATATAAACAGCCAAATGGTAAAAGTACTGGACAGTATGGTATCATACAACAGTTTTGTATGTCAACGTAAACTTTATGGTTTGGAGACTTTAGAACAGCCGTCAAAAGGGCAGCCGTAACCGTGATGTGTACACGTTATGTTAGGATTCAGAAACCAAATTCGTAAACCGGAGGTATATTTTTATTGTAGCAATTCAACTTTAAATAGTGAAACAGAAGATACAGCTGAATTTGAAACATTTATCAGTATTGATTAATTTGATTATTTGTAAATTTGTACTATATTGAATTGTAATTTTGTTTAAAGTATTAGTCATTTCTTATATAATATAAAAATAAGAAGATGTGGTATGATTGCCAATGAGACAACTTTCCACAAGAGACCAAATGACCCAGAAATATAGGTCACCGTACGGCTTTAACAATGAGCAAAGCCCGTACCGCATAGTCAGCTATAAAAGGCCCCGAAATGAAAAATGTAAAAAATGATATATTTCGCCTTTCTTACACCACTGGGTCGATGCCACTGCTGGTGGACGTTTCGTCCCCGAGGGTATTACCAGCCCAGTAGTCAACACTTCGGTGTTGACATGAATATCAATTATATGGTCATAACATCAACAATGAACACCTTACTCCTCAGGAAAAAATATTAAATTCAA